ATGATTTTTTTAAAACTTCAAAAATTATGGTAGATTTATTTTTTCGGCTTGACAACAACAAAAGCTTCTTATGTAAGTCTTTACATGTGGCAAGATGGAAGGGTATGTGTTTGGTTATATTTTAAAAGGAACACTGTCCATCTCCTTGAAAACTGAGCATGTTACAGGAAAAATCTGTACCTGTGGAACTTCTGCTTTTCATCAACCAGAAAAGTAGAAGCCTTGTCACAAAGGTCCTTGAGGATGAGTTGATATATTTAAAAAATTACCTCCCCACTTTCCATCATCTGCCTAGGATAGCTTACAACAGTATAATGAAAACAAAAACAAATCTACCAATTACTATGAGCATAAATTATACAGAAATGACCCTGTAATTACAGTTTATAACCCCACCCAATTCAGATAACCCATCTGACACTTGAGAATATCAACAATGAGAAATAGCTCTTAGAAATAGAAGTTTTCCAGCCATCCTGAACATGAACAATGATAATTAGAGAAAGCTAACCATGAGATGAAAAAGCTTTGTCATCTGGTTGTGGTGATTTTTAGCCAAGCATAGAAGAGAAATAGCCCTATGTGTTCAGTAAGGGGTTTTTTTGAAAGCTAACCATGAGATGAAAAAGCTTTGGCATCTGGTTGTGGTGACTTTTAGCCAAGCGTAGAAGAGAAATAGCCCTCTCTATGTGTTCAGTAAGGGGTTTTTTTTTGGGGGGGGGGCAGGGAGCAGAATTGTGCCAGTTTTCTGCATACTGGATCTCCACAATTTTTTTGCTGAATAATGTTAGGGCCTTACATGCATAAACTGTGTATGCATACGCTCTACATGAACAATTGTAACCCTTGTGAAAAGCAGAGTCCCAACTGTACTGTTGTATGCATGTTGGGACTCTAAACACATAGCCAGCTAAATGCATAGAGATGCTGCCAATACCTTTGCTCGTCCTCCCTCCACAAATTCACAGTGGGCGTGATTTTCACATGACCAGGAGCAATGCTCCCTCTAAGCTGTGGAGTCTTGTAAGCAAAAATTCTGCTTTGTGAGCTACTTGGCTACTGCATAAATTAGTTTGCTCTGGAGCCATCCTTCCTGAGCTAAGAGAAAAATGTGTGAGCTGGGAGCTAAAAAACTGTGAGCTAGCTCACACTAACTCAGCCTAGAGCAAACACTGACCATGAGCCAACCCTTTCTTTTTGAGAGTGGGGAGTAGCATGGGGCTACACCCAGGAAATCCTGGTTTGAGTCACCTTTGCCAATGAGCTCAGTGGGGCAGTAATCCTTTGCATGCTTCCTTGAAAGTGAGCTCCAGTGAACTTTGCAACTGCAAAGCATACATAGGATTGGACTGTTTGTGTCCTTGAGCAATCTATTCCTGCTTCCAGACCACACACACACACCCCACCCGCACTATGGGGAAGATAATAAAACAGACCTACCTTGTAAGTCTTCTTGCTGGAGGAATGGAAAATAGCTGCAGTTGTGGTTTTTTCCTCCGAAAGGCATTCAGAGGGAGCTAGATTAAGCAGAAGTCCAGCAGCATGATGTCAAAGACTAACCAGAGTTATCCCAACATAAGCTTTTCTGAGCCAGGAGTCACTTCATCAGGTGCACTGAAGTATCCATCCAAAACAGCTGAAGTTACACTTGGAAATCAAGCAACAGAAAGGAAGTGGAGAAATTAGGAGGGGCCAATGTAAAATGATAAACCAATCCCAATCAAAGGTTAAACCACTTGGTGAGTTAGAACCATGCCTGCCTCTTGACAGGTAGGGCATGATTAAAACAACATCTATTTAAGGAGGATATAATTTGAGAAATATTAAAATACGAAAGGGCAGTACAGAGACCATATAAAGGTGCAAGTAGCGCAGAAGTGAACATGTCTTGGTGAGGAAGAATCAGTATCATTTCTGCAAAGGGAAGTCCTGCCTCACCAACCCTTGGGAGTCTTTGAGAGTGTCCAGAAGCATGTGGTGAGGGGTAATTCATTTGATATCATATACTTGGACTTGCTTTAGACAGATTCCCCAGCAAAGGACTCTTAAGTAAAGATAGCAGTTAAAGAATAAGTAGAAGGTAGCAGTAAACAGCCTACTCCCACATCAAAGAAGAGTAAGCCATGGAGAGCTATAATGCGACCAGTGTTCTATAATGGGCTTATAAGCAGCTTTGATATCCAGTGAACCGATCCCGCCCCCCCAGGGACCCAATATTTGCTCTTCCCAGAAGTGTCTCTGACATGGCTGCCAGATATCTGGATGAAAAATTACATTTAATATGAAACTGGGGTCCCTGGATTTAGGCAGAAGTAGTCCCAAAGCCCTCCTGGCTGGGAGTAGCCCACCTGCCTGGAAAACTCCACTGAAACATTAATCAAGGACCCGTTCAGACCCCAGAGGTTCTCTGAGCCCTTTTGACCAAAAGACTTGGGTGTGCAAGGCAATAAGCCAGTTCCCCATCTTGGCCATACCTTCTCCAATCCCAGCATAACTCAGTCAAGAGCCCAAGGGAAACATCAAGCCTCTTCGGGGTCCTTTGTTAAACCAGCCAAAACTGGTATTTTGGGCAGGTAACCTAATCACCCTGGCCCTAGGTTGACTTGCCCATATTTTTCCCATACAGACCATGGTTGACACTCCCATACACAGCCCAGTTGACCACGCCTACACTTGGAGTTCTTTTTACCTTTCACTCCCCTAAATTCAAAATCTGCGAAACAGAACCAAGATCACACACCTCCAACCTACTCCACTGTGGTTCCTAGAAAAAGGGCACTCCAGACCCTTCAATGTAGTAGCTGGTTTCTGGATCCTACCTTCAGCTCCACAGTTGGTTTACACCTACTCTTGCTGAGTGGTTGGCTCTCTTCCCGGACTCTAGTGGTTAAGTGCACAGACTCTAATCTGGGAGAACCAGGTTTGATTCCCTACTCCTCCACTTGCACCTGGCTGGATGACCTTGGGCAAGCCATAACTCTGGCACAGCTGTTCCTGAAAAAAAGCAGTTTCTGTCAAGAGTTCTCTCAGTCCCACCTACCTCACAGGGTGTCTGTTGTGGGGAGGGGAAGGGAAAGGAGTTTGTAAGCCACTCTGAGACACCTTTGGGTAGTGAAGGGCGGGATATAAATCCAATCTCCTCTTCTTCTCTTCTTTACCCCACATTGGATTATTTCCCTTCCCTTCTGGAATCTTTTCCACTACAGATTGGACTTCCCTTGGCAGCTTCACTTCCCTTTGGACTGGGCATTCCTTCTCCATGATCAGATGTAGAATAATTTTCTTTGGCACTTTTCCATTAGTTTATTTTCCCCTCAGATCTCCCTTCAATAGACAGAAACTCGTAGACAGGTAGACTTATGGGGGTCTGTTGGTATGCTGCATAATTATCTATTTCATTGTTTGACTGTTCTGTTTTCAACATTTCCATCTTAGACCTGTATTCTGCTGGTTAGAGATGCCCTGTTCTTTTTTTTTCTTCTGAGTGTTGTTCCAAGTTGGAACCCTTGTAGGCACTGGGCAGTTCAGCCCTGGAGGACACATGTTTGGTCTGACATGGAAAGTGTTTGGCCTCACACGTGTGCCCCTATTTGAGAGGCAAGCAGAGAAGCAGCCAGGTCTGTGCTCAATGTCAAATTATCCAGGATGATGAAATCCTAAACAAGATACAAAGACTGCCAAAGGGGTCTCTGCAAGCTGGGTGAGTTGAGCACAGCATGCCAAATGAGGTTCGAACTACAGAAGGATAAAGTGATGCCCATTGGGGTAATATGTGACAGGAATGAAATGGGCGAATACTTCCAGGTAGTCAGCCATGTTGGTCTGAAGCAGCAGAATAAATTTAGAGTCCAGTGACACCTTTAAGACCAACAAAGGTTTATTCAAGGTATGAGCTTTTGTGTGCATGCACACTTTCATTTTTTGAAAAAGTGTGCATGCAGATGAAAGTTCATACCTTGAATAAACCTTTGTTGGTCTTAAGGATGGAGGCTATGACTAAGAAAGAGATGTGAGGGTTGTTGGGTCCTTGGGTCTCAAAACACAGACTCGTGTATGGTGGCAGTAAAAAAGTTCTGTGTGTTGGGGATTAGTGTGAAAGGGACTGAAAATAAAAGCTGCCTTTCTGTAAATCTATGGCTTGGCTGCATTTGGAATCCTGGGTACCGTTATTATACCATCTCCAAAAGGATGTTGTCAAATGGGAAAGGGCGCAGAACAGACCAGCTCAACAGATTAAATGGCTAAGAGGTTTGGTGTAATTTAGAGGAAAAACGACTGAGGATCTAACTGGGTGTTACAGAAGTTCCCCCTGGAGAAAACGACTGCTTTAGAAAGTGGACTCTATGGCATTATACCTCACTGAGCTTCCTCCCCAGGCTCCACCTCCAAATCTCCAGTAATTTCCCTACCCGGAGATGGCAATCCTAATACTAACCCAAACTCTTTGCAGGAAGGATGGGATAAAAATATACTAACAGTGTGGCATTTACTGCTCGGGTTCTACATATCATGCATGCATGAACACCGCAGCTGTCTACCGTACTGATTCATGGGGAGAGAGAGCTCATAATTTATAAACCCTGATTTTTTGGGTGTGTGTGTGTGTTAGGGTGCTTTGATTTTAATGTTTTGCCTCCGTATATTTTTCATGTCAAACTTTTCAAGGTCTGGGTTGAAGCTGGCTCGCTTTGTTTGCTCATGCCAGATCCCCACTGTTCCAGGCGGCTGTTTCTGGACACGAAGTATTTTTTCCTCCTCCCGGCTTCGGATCGAGGAGCCACCCTTGCGCCCGCAGAGCATCGCGGGCTCGCCCTCCCCCCGCTCCTCTTGGCCGCGGCCCTCCAAGACGCCCTCTATAAAAGAGGCCCGTCCGCCCGTCCGCTTGGACTTGCTGGCCCCGAGGATGCCCGAGGCCGCTGGAGCTGCAGCAGCGGCGGCGCCTCATTAGCGCCTCCGCCCGCCCTCCACGTGCGTGCGCTCCGACGACGAGCACCACGACCATGGCTGCAGCCCCCCGTGGGCCAGCCCTGCTGCTCCGCTTGCTGATCCTTCTGGTGGCCCTCTCAGTCGTGCCCTCTGCCCTGGGACTGCCCTGCCCGGCGGCTTGCGAGCGGACGCGCTGCCCTCCGCGCTCGCCCCAAGCCTGCGCCGCCGTCGGGGGCCTTTTCCAACCCGACCGCTGTGGCTGCTGCTGGGAATGCGCGGCCGGGGAGGGCCAGCCGTGCGGCCCCGGCGGCCTTTGCGCTTACGGCCTCTTCTGCCAGAGGCCCCCGGGGAACCGGCAGCGGGGCACCTGCTCGTGCGCGGAGTCCACCCTGCCCGTGTGCGGCAGCGACGGCCGGACCTATCGCAGCCTCTGCCTGCTGCGGGCGGAGAACCAGCAAGGGCGCCTTCGGGACCAGCCGGCTGTGATCGCCGTGCAGAAGGGCAGCTGCGGAGAAAAAAGTGAGGAAAACATTTCTGGTGAGGTAGTGATCCGAGTAGGACTAGGCGGGGAGACCTGGGTTCCAGTCCCCAGTCTGCCATGAGGCTCTCTGGGAGATCTGTCACTTAACCCACCTCACAGGGTTGTTGTGATTATAAGAGTATGGTGGGAAGACTTGTGTGTGCTACCCTGAGCCCTTTGGAGGAAGCGTGGAATAAAAAGGCAATAAGTAGTAGAAATCCTAAAGGGTAGAGGGAGGGACTGAGTAGTTATAACTGCCCAGATGAGAGGAAGATCACAGACTGGTAGGGTCCATAGGCTCCTGTGGCCTCAATTTGCCTATGGACCATGCAGAGAAGTTAGTGTGGGGAGTCAGTCCTTGAGCCTCCACTTGGTTTTGCTTTGTAAGCATTTTAAAGGAAAAATGTCTGGTGTTCAAGGACAATCTTCTGCCATTCAAATGCCACAGGACATTGAATAGTGAAACTGGGTGAAAGTTGAAGGGTTAACCCCCCCTTCCCTGCACAAACGATCAGGCTGCTATTTATGATTGCATCTTCTGGATGTAACAAGACCTGTCATCTCTGCCTAGGCTGTTTGAGCCAACCAAGCATACACTTGCATAAGGCTGTTCCAGACATGTGTCTACATCAGCTTGGTAACTGCAGCAGCAAAGGTGTAAATGGACTATTGCAGACGATCAAGACTGGTAGTCCTGTTAGTTTGTCTGTAGCAGTAGAAAAAAGCAAGAGTCCAGTAGCACTGTAAAGGCTAACAAAATTTGCGGCAGGGTGTGAGCTTTTGGGAGTTGCTGCTGTATCTGAAGTAGTGAGCCATGACTCACGGAAGCTTATACCCTGCCACAAATGTTGTTAGTCTTTAATGTGCTACTGGATGCTTTCTCTTTACTGCTATTGCAGATGACTGTTATGACCAATGTTCCCTCTAAGCTGTGGAGACTTGTGAGCAAAAATTCTACTTTCTGAGCTACTAGCATTAAAGTTGTGAGCGAGCGATTTGGCTACTGCATAAATTACTTTGCTCTGAAGCCCTCCTTCCTGAGCTAAGACAAAAATGTGTGAGCCGGAGGCTAAAAAAGTGTGAGCTAGCTCACATTAACTCAGCTTAGAGGGAACACTGGTCATGACACTCCAGATACCTTCTCAGTGGAGTCTGTTTACGCAGTCTTCTCTGAGGTATTAGGCACACAGGTGATTCAAGCAATCTGAAGCTGGTTCCTAGTAACTGGCTTCTTATTTACAGCTCCTGCTTTGATATTCTTCAGTACAATGAGAATTCCACAGCAGCGTGCACCCAGGAATTACATAAATTGCATTGCTAAATTGATGAAGAATAGCAGTGAAGCGATGCTGCACTCCCAAATACATTTTAGACAATCCCAGTTCATATGAGCCCAGAATCTGGAACGCGTACTTTACTACATGCTATAGAGGGGTGCCTAATCCAAGGCTTAGATTTTTTATCAAAGCGCTCCGAAGCAAAGTTACTACTGCAAGCCCTTGCTCGGCTTTGCTTGGTAGCTGAAGAATAAGGGTTTGTGGATGCTGTACTCTCAACCCAGTTTTGAAGCACCCCAACTCATGCATCCCTGGGATCAAGACCTGGTATCCTGCAAGGTGCCATAAATTATTCCCTGGTCCAAAGCCTAATTTGTGAGCCAACTGCTCCATTGTGGGGTGGCCTAGGAGTTCTGTTGGATTGTATAGCAAAGTGGTAGAACAGTGAAGATGTTTTGGTGAGCTTTGCTCGGAACCAGTCTTTGGACCAAGCTCCACTCCATGGCACTTTGCAGACTACAGTCTCCATATTCTGAGCCTGTATGAGTTGGGGTCACTTCAAGCTTATTCTGGAGTGCAGACCTGTTTAAATATCGTCCACTATTTGTAGTTGGATTAGAGAATGAAAACCGAAAGTAGGGCTCTAGGAACCAACTTCCATCCTTGTTTGAGTGATCTATACGTAGACGTGAGCCTTGCAACTGTCAGCTGAATTATGAACCAGTTTCACTGCGCATAGCTAAATTCTGGAACGGAAGTTGACTTGGATATATAAATTTAGGGATGTCTTTCTTTCTGGGGTTCATGAAATTGTATGACTGGCTTATCTGAAAGTTCTAATAAGGAAGGAAACTGTTAAATCAACAGCTAAATTACTGACAGCGCAGTTAGTAGTAAAGTGTTGATAGCAAATCTCCAGGCTAGTTAAGTTAGTCACATTTGCAAAATCTCAGATCTTAATTAACCACCAGCAGAGAAGGATGTGCCACTTACAGGAGTCTCTAAGGAGAATTAACACCTTTCTAAACCTGTTGAAGTAAGTGGACTTAGAAGGGGTACAACTCTGCTCTGGAGCACACGATTGGCTTTAAAGTCTATATAGGGATCCATTCATGAATCCCCAGTATCATTTGTAGTTTGGCCGATAAGGCAGAAGTCAAAATTTCATTAAAGTCAGACATTTCTTTAAATATGAACTTTCATCCCTTCAGGATCCAGAACTTGTTTAAACGCAAAATTTTTTGTGGCTTTTTATTTTATTCTTTATTTATAACATTTCTGTGCTGCCTTTCCACCCAACACAGGGTTCAAACACTACATTTCAAATCATGTATATGTTTATATCTTATATAAAATCACACACTTTTGTTTCAGTGGAGGTTGTCATAAATTCAGCTTTGATTTGTCCAATGTCCAGACAATTTATAAAATCATCAGGCGACATATCTGAAGGTGTGAATGGACTTCATTTAAAAGCATTGCATATGATCATTTGAAACTTACGTTAGTTTTCAGTGCATCTTGGGCACTCAGATGAAGTTATAATAATATTAGCACTTTCAGAGTTCGGAGGACTTTGTATATATCATTACCACAGCTGTCCTTACAGCAGCCCTTCAAAGTAGGCCACTGTCATCATCCCTGTTCTGTAGATGAGGAAGAAAGCATGGCTTGCCTAGGGCCACCTAGAGAGTCTACAGCTGAGCTGAGATTTGCACTGGCAGTCTCCTAGATCACAACTCACAGTGCCTTCCTAAGCAGACTTGCACTTTTCTAAGCCCATTGACTCCAATGGACTTAGAAGGGGGTAACTGTTCAGGATCACTTTAGCATTCTGCCCACCATTGTGCTATACCAGTAGCATGCCAGGTGAGTGATACAGGTATCTGGGGTCTTGCAGGTGCTGTGGATACCAATAGCCCGCGCTACAAGTTCAACTTCATTGCTGATGTGGTTGAGAAGATTGCTCCTGCAGTCGTGCACTTGGAACTCTTCCGCAGGTAACAGAAGGGCTGCCTTGTCAGACTGTGCTCTCCATCTACCTAGCTTTTAACCACCCAACTTTGCCATCTAATCCACCTTGTCCTTCTTCGACTCTCCCTTCAGCAGTTGCTTCACTTGTTCTAGCTGCGCTGGTGCTAAGCCACTGGGGCAATGAAGGGCAGGCCAGAAACAACCATGATAGCATCATGACTCAGTGTTTGCCTTAAAGACCCATTGAAGGTCATGAAGAAGCAGCCAGACCTTTGCTATAGGACTGCAGTGTTCTGTTTCCTAGGCCGGAATTGCATTGCAGCACCATAGCAGCTCCTCAGAGCAACTCCTGTAGTGCTGCAGTGAGCTTAGGAAAGCCATTTTCAAGGGAGAGGAGGTAAGCAGAGACACAACTCATTTCAGTCTCTCTCATTTCAGTCTCTAAAAGGCAGCATTTTAGAAATGGGAAAACTTATTTAAAGTGAGAGGTGCTCCCCATTAAAAGATACCTTCATCAGTAAGTTCTGTGGATTTTAATCGAGGAATGATTAGGTTCAGTTGACATAGATCCCTATTTGAATAAAACCAAAACATTGAAGAGGAAAGCATACGTTGCCCTTTGATGGTTGCACGCACATATTGCAGCACATGGCATTGTATTGACTCACTCTGTGTAATCCGCCTTGAGTCCCAGTGAGAAAGACGGACTATAAATAACATAAATAAATAAATTTTTTAGAAGAGGCCTCTTGTGTGTGGGAGAAAGGACAGTTAACTCTCTGAAGTTTTGGAAGAACTTTTTCCCCTGCCCTTTCTTTCTGTCACTACTTATATCAGCCTCTTAGGGCTGCCTGCTTATTAAACACCACTTGCACTCTCATCTACACATTCATGTTTCTCAGTTTTCTTTAAGCAAGCATTTTAAAAGCTGTTCCAGGAGTGGAATGGGAGGTTATTGGTGACACTGCAGGAATGCCAGCCAGTCAGCCACTTCCTTCCCCATTCAAGATGAACCAGTCTGAAAAGCTTTCTGTCTCCCTTGAGTGCACTCAGAAATTGAGAAAGGCACATTTGGACTGCAGTGAGTTGAGGGTGCTTCCTAACTGCTCTTGTTCCTCTGCAAGTGTTACCTCTTGCTTTACTTGTAAAGGCCTTGACTTAAACTATAAAGTTGGTGGTGGTGGAAAAAATGTCTGTGATCCTGGGACAGGTTGCCTTACACGAACAAAGAGGTGCTGGTGTCCAGTGGTTCGGGCTTCATTGTGTCCGAGGATGGTCTGATCATCACCAATGCCCACGTTCTCACTAACAAGCACAGAATCCAAGTGGAGCTCAAGAGCGGCCACCAGTTCGATGCCAAAGTCCGAGATGTCGACCATAAGCTAGACATTGCCCTGATCAAAATAAACACCAACGTGAGTACAGCCTTGCTTTCCTGAAGGGCGTCATGGACTTCTAGAGGCACAAATTCTGCTGCCTTGGCCTTTTTGCTGGGATGGGGGGGGGGTAGAATTTCATCTACAAGATTCAGGCTGCTGATACTGAAGTTCTGAAGTTGTGAGAAGTTACAGACTTGGTGCAAACAACAATGGCATGTTGTTGGAACCCAGTTTTCCCCACTCATTATTTGCCACAAATTCAGGTGTGTGTGTGTGTGGGGGGGGGTTGGAGAACTTTGGGGAAATTTTCAGCATTGTTTGTATTCCATAGACTTACATCACTGTGGAAGAAAGAATATATATATCTTGAGGTCACCTGCCTTGGTTTGTGTGGGGGTACTTTTGTATTTGTATCTTGGATTTCAGTCAGAACCAGACATTTTAGTGTTTATGGAGAAAGATCCACATCTGTTAGATGATATTTCAGTTTGTGGAGCACACGTTGGGAAAGAATAGGAAAGTACTATTATGGGTCTGGGGAGATATAGCAATACTCAGCAGGCGGGGGGGGGGAATCAAATTAAGTACAGCTAGAAGGTCTCATCTAGTCTGATATGGATGTCTCTGGTGGTTGTACAGTGGCAGCTTTATGCTTTGTGGGAAACTATTTTAAAGCATTTTATATTTTACCAAATATTTTGCCTTGAGGCTCAAGATGTCTTGGGTTGACCCTGTCCCATGGCTTCAGTTATCTCATGCCTAATGTTTAACCACTTTCAGTTAAGTTCATAACATTTTTACTAGCTTACACGAGTCCATTTTTAGCCTGTACCAAAGAATTTTTCTAAAGTTTCATTGCTCACTCACCTAGAGGAAATTCTGTATTGCCACAGGAGACCGGGCAAGTTTACAAGCTTAAGTGTTTCCATTACTGTGTAGATGGTTCTCCCGGTTCTCCTGTTGGGCAGATCCTCTGACCTTCGGCCTGGTGAATTCGTGGTGGCTCTGGGCAGTCCTTTCTCCTTGCAAAACACCGTGACAACAGGAATTGTAAGCAGCACTCAGAGAGATGGCAGAGAGCTTGGACTGAAGGACTCCGATATGGAATATATTCAGACAGATGCCATTATCAATGTAAGAGACTCCTCCAGGGAACTGATAGCCACACTGCCACCACGCATGATAAAGAATCGGCTTTCCACACTTTTTCAAGCTTCACTATGAGACTCTGCTCCCTAAAGAGGTGCATTTTTCTGTCCCATTTTAATACCACCAAGCATAGCTTTTTGCATGGCTTCAACAGAGATGGAGGGGTGAGATTTCTATATAGCGGCTCTCAGGAAACAAAAGAATGCGAAAAATAGGGGTTTTCCCACGTACAAGAGAACTTTGATCTCTGTTGGTTGGAAAATTTGTATTTCTGTGCACAAGCAAGTCTGCTTCCTCATTTGATGGGAATTGGGCAACCTGCCCACCTACACACATGTTTCCATGAGTGCATTGGAGCATATGTGGGTAGGGTTGCCACATCTGGGTTGGAAAATACCTGGAGACTTTGGGGGTGGAGCCAGGAGAGGGTGTGGTTTGGGGAGGGGAGGGGCCTCCACATAGTACAATGCCATAGAGTCCACGCTTCAAAGCAGCCATTTTCTCCAGGGGAGCTGATCTCTGTCGGCTGGGGATCAGTGGTAAAAGCGGGAGATCCCCAGGCCCCACCTGAAGGCTGGCAACCCTATATGTGGGGCTTTGGATGGGATTGAATGACTACAGAAAACAAAGGTGATTTGTCAACGTATCCTCCTATGTTGCTATGAACTTTCTTAAAATGCCTGTGTAAATAATTGTGTGCTGTCAAATCGCAACTGACTCATGGTGACCTCAGGACCAGGAGGTTTTCAAGGCAAGGCATAAGCAGAGGTGGTTTGCCATTGCCTTCCTCTGCATGGCAACCCCAGTCTTGCTTGGTGGTAAACCATGGCCAAACCTGTTTACATTCCAAGCTCTGAATTGAGCTGAGGCCCCTTTAGACACAGATAAAGGGGGTGTAAACTGTCTGCAAATGCTCTGTTTCCCATGAATTCTGCCAGAAGAAATGGATTGTGGATGATGAACTTCCTTTTCAATTCTCTTATCTTGCAGTATGGAAATTCTGGAGGGCCCTTGGTGAATTTGGTAAGACTTTTCCTGCTGCTCTTCCTTGCCTGCAAATTTGCTGATGCTGATGGAAGATCTACCAGAGTTCCTGTTTGTACTTTCATCACAAACTGTCATTACATTTAATAATGTATTCCATATACCTGAGTGCATAAGAGAGATCCCATCTTTCTTTCTCCAAATTTGGCCCAGCAGACTTTCAAGCTAATACCATCCATTGGAGCTTAGATTTCCAAAGAATGATGAGTGCAGAGTGCAACTCTCCCTTGAATGGGGAGAACACCCAGGCTGTAGACCACTGTTGTAGACCCTCCTTCACCAGCAGTAGTACCACGTCAAGGTTAAATATAACAAGGCCATAGCAGTGATGGGTAGGAAAAAAAATTTAATGTCCAAATCTAAAAACTGAGAAAGGTAA